GTTTACCTTTGAAAAAAAAAATGTAATACTTCCTCATTGAAGAAAAAGTGCAAATTATAAGACATTATTCAATAATAATATTTGTCTATAACTATGTGTTTAATAAATTTATAACTGAAGAAATGGTAAATAATGATAAAGGGATGATTGTTTTTACTTTCATGAATTTCAAGTTTAATTATATACATGGTCAAATTGTTGTTTCAACTAAATGTAAGTAAAATATGTTGGTCATTACTTTCGTAAATAGGTCTCCTTTTAACAATGTACACACAGAGCAAATAATATTAAGTACAGATATGATAAACAATCGCGAAACATATGTTTTATAATTTGCTAATCGCTAGAAATAATATATAAATTTTTTGTTTCTGATTTTTGACATTCAGTTTTAACAGATAGACATATTTAAATATTGGAAATATATGAATTCAATATTTGTAAAATAAAGTAATTTGGAAGTCATTGTTTTACATGACTAGTAAAACTCGCCAATGATTATCTATTATTATTATTATTATCATCATCTATTACTATTATTATTATTAAATTCACGTGAATAATCATTCAATAATATTAATAAACAATATATATGATCATACAAATTATGTTAAGAAACAGTGATTTGATATGCCATCCATAACTCTCCAGTTTTGCAGGTCCTGACTCCTTTGAATATAAACATAGATTGCTGAATAAAAAATTTTAAACAGTAGATCCCCTTGATGAGATTTATCGAAGCACGGGTATACACATTCCTACATTTGGCAGCTCCAAAAATCTAAAAATAGTAGTGGTACTTGATAAAAAAATGCAAAGGAACCAAGGTAAAATTGTATTTAGTATTGTTATAATAGTATGTATATGTGTACGTAGACCACCATATGTATATCATATTTTCTTGCATACATAATAAGTAAAACAATCTTAGCTGTCTTTACAGCCATTTACGCTATTAATGTTTTGTAATTTACTGAAGGGAAATGTTTTATGAATGAGACAGTGAAACATAAATAAATGACATATTGAAATAAGTATCTAAATGTTTCTCTTATTAATACATTTTAAGGATAATTTTTAGTATCTTTAATGATAAATGGGAAGCATAGTATGGACATTGTTGTTGATTCCTCGTTCCTGTTTCTGACCTGCCGCATCACCTGCCAGTTTCAATTTATATTACAATCAGGTGTTATGGAACAAAAATACATACAATAGTATAGAAGTAAATATATATATATATATAAGTAAAACACAAGTAGACATCATGCCAATACTAATGTTAAAATTCTGGCATTTCTCAGTTACTTAAAATTAAACCATGAGTATCCTACAATATGTATATATCTTTGTGTATAAAAAAAACACAAAATATTATGGTATAAATAAAACATAGTCGATTCTAATGTCATTTTTTAAAGTGTATGGACTTTGCGAAGCGATTAACTATCGTAATTTATTGTAAACAGTATATGAAGTTACAGCAGGCATTAACCGCATCCCGTTGGGAAACTATCTGAAAACTATCTGAAATAAACAAACAATTATAATAAAACACATGAATCATACGCAACTATAAATTTACTTTCAAAGGTGTAAAATATATTGTTTTAATAACCAGAGAAAATATCAATGTATCACGAATTTATCAATTTTATGAACATTCAACTCCCTGAAAGTATCAACAGTCATCAGCGCGCATATAACATACCCTTCTTCTTACACCATTGATTTTCATAATAAACAATAAATATCAAGCCAATATAAATATAAGTGATATAATAGTGTATGATAAAATCATATATAATTAACACGTTCAATCCGCTGTAACGGATAATAATTAAATTTCATAGACACAATTGTACATCATCGATAAATTGAAACCGCTAAACATCAACTAGACAACTTTTATGTACGTCAACCGGTTAGAAATAGGCTGCGGGTTGAACGTACTAAAAAATAAATATTGTATATGCATGGGTGAATATCACATTAACGCTAAATTATGTTGTGTGCGTGTGTTACATACTTCACAAAATAGTAGTAATCATGTGTCGTGAGTAGAAAATAGTAAATTTGATTTCATTTACTTGTAAGTTAATACTGTAAGATTTATATATAACAAGTGCAGTAATCATAGTAATAATAATGATGACAGTAATGATGATGATAATGGCAACAATAATAATAAGAATAATGAGAATAATAATAATAATAGTAATATAATAATAGTGATAATAACAACAACAACAATAATAACAACATATGCATAATATTCATGAAATATGACTATACTTGTCTAGTTTTTATATACGCCATGTATGACAATCACATCGACAAGAATTTCAACTACAAAGTTTTCTTGGCATACAATCTTCTTTTATACTTAAAAATAATTCGGGCTACGAGACATTTCTAAATTAGATGATCCGTATCGAATTAAATTTCATTGAGAAACTTTGCACTTGAATTCCATTAGTGTTTTAGATACGAAACGAATGTTTTTTAATAATTTTTTAAAACATTTATTTATAATGTGATAAACAGTTTTTAAAAGATTCCTCAAAGTATTTGAACATTACATGTTTTAGTGCACTCAATTTTACATTGACTTAATATAAAAGCGAATGTTAGAAGAAACTGTATGATACAAAAAGTATATTTAATACTATTATAAAAATTCATGAATTTATCGCTAACGTCAAAGTAGAATTACTAATGAACTGCCAATATATTTTTGTTATAATATTAAAAAGAAACTTTTATATTATACAATTTCTTGACTATGTGTTATATTAATTAAAAATGAATACTTACAGTTTAGGTTCTCCTCGATGGAAGTTTAACTTTCTGAATTCGTTTGTGAATAGGGGTAGTTTTGATAGCCAGTTGGAAAAGACGGATTTTGTTGGCCAGCTTGTGGTTGTGTGTTAGATCCAGCTCCCGCCGCTGCATAATAATTTGCCGGTGTGGAACCAGGATTTATTGCCGGGTAATTTCCATAAGCTTGTGGAAAAGCGTTAGGAGCTGCACCTGCCGGACCTGATTGCCCCTGCATATTTTGCTGCATTTGTTGTTGAGCCATTTGATTATTCTGCATTCCCAACTGAAAAATTGAACATATTACTTTATCGTATTATAATCACTTTGATTCATTTTCTTCTCTTATATTCAGCTTTCAATATACCTTTCCCGCTTTCATTTGAGCTTCTATAGCTTCGGCTTCTTTTATTTTACCGATACTTCTATAGTACTCTGCCCATTGTGCACTATAATCTGCTTGACCTCCATTTTGAGTAGCTCCTGTTTGTTGTTGTTGCGGTTGTGTTTGCTGTGGTTGTGGAGCTGGTCCAGCATTACCCGTTGTTGAAGCATTAGCTTGACTTGGTGCATTTCCTGCAGACATAGATACTCTAAACATACATTCAAGCTTTGTGTATATCAAAATAAGATGACTGTAGTTTACCGGATTGTTGATTGTGGTCTTGTTTCCCCTGTTTTGCCTGTTGTTCTATCATATCTGCTTCCCTGTGCATACCTAACGACCTGTAATATTCTGCCCATTGTGCACTGTAATCTGGTTGCCCTGTTTGTGGATTTACTTGAACAGGAGCTTGGTTTGCTGTGCCTTTAACAACAGATCATTATATAATTTAATTTTAGTACTCGTGCCATTTTAATGGAAAACAAAGATAGATGTACTTGTATCTGCAGTTTGTGGTTGATTTGGCCATGCCTGATAGGCTGTTCCAGCATTCCAAGTTGGATTGTATCCTATTGCACCTTGTGTACTTGTGAACGATGTGTTAGCTGGAGCCTTGTGTATAATTAATAAGAAAATAATATATAGTGTTTTTGTCACATGTACACTTAGCAGTTATGTCATCACAATATTTACCATGCCCAGTTTTTCACTGAATATTCTTTTCGCGTGTTCCACTTGTTCAGGATTACCTCGAATTATGAAAATTTTCTCATTTTCATTACTTTGATTTCTTCTATCTAATTCACAATGTGCTCCAGTTTGCTGATTGATTTGCTTGATGGTTTCACCACCTATGACGATTAGAATGAATGGTTACACTGTTGTATTATAGATGTTAAGGTTGTTACATTATATCAAAATACGTTCAATTATAAATATTGGAACTTTACCTTTCCCAATGATAATACCACATTTCGAGGATGGAACAGTAAATGTGGTTTCTATCTTATCTTGCATAGGTCCTCCTTGACGTCTATCCCATCCACCATATTCATTTGGATTACGGTTACCGCCAAATCCGTTGCCTCTTGGACCACTTCTTGCATTCATGTTACCTCTACCATCATCTCTTCTCTAGAGATAAAAAATATAGATTGATATATACAGGGTGATTCGCGGAATTATTACAAGCCATATCTGTTTTGTGGTTGAAGTTGAAAAGAAATATTACAGGATAAAAATGAATGGTATAATATTCTACATATATTTACAGCCATAAATTTTTATATGCACGTGCCTTCGGCAGTAACACTATTCTTTTTAAATTGGAATCTCTTTCTTTATATGAGTTATTTATATATATATAAAATATCAGAATAAGATTGATTAATGTAAAGTGTCATATTTACCATTACGCTATCAATAAGTTCTTGAATACGTTGACGAACTTGTTCTACTGCTTGATGCTTTCCAGACAGTATACATTTTCTGTCGCCAGGACCATCTTCTCTTCCCTGTTGAAACTGTACTCTTGCACCAGTTTCTGCCTGTATTTTTTTAATCATATCTCCACCTTTACCAATGACAACACCTACTGCTGCTCTTGGAACAAGTACCTAATAAATGAATGTATTTTATGTAGAGTTCTATTCATTTTGAAAAATCTCTCTGAACGAAAATATTTGTGCATTATTTATTTATTAAAAAAATATATTAATACCTCTACTCCGTCAGTGGTTCCAGAACCATGATTAAAACTACTATCATTTGAATAATTCCCACTTCTTTCGCTGCCTCTTGCACCCCTATGAAACATTTGCATTTCTTTTTCAGCTATTAATTCATATACTAATTGTTTGGCATATTCAACTTTTTGTGGATCACCAGTTATCCTACACGAAACAAGATACGATGTAGCTTCTATTGCTATTCAAACTTTTATATATTTGGACAATAGTTCAGGATATCGGTTAATAAACAACAAATTGAATTATTACCTCAAAGGTTTTTCTTGTTCTTGAGATGGACCTTCTTGAATAACAACCATTTTTGCACCAGATTTTTCCTGAAGTTGTTTAATTGTTTCTCCCCCTTTTCCAATAATTAAACCAACTTTAGGTCCAGGTATCATTATTTCAACAAATCCTGGATGTCCCATCATTCCACTGCCGCTACCACTCATATTCATGTCACCAATCCCTTCAGTTCTACTTCGTTGATTGACAATTGACAGTACCAATTCTTTAGCTCGGCTGAAACATATACAGTTTACGTGTGCAATATAACTTTGAATACTTTCTTTTAATACAAATGTAATCTATTAATGTATAGTAATTTAAATATATTTTGTTTGCAACACATAATGAGATGTCTACAGTGTGCCAAAATATTAATAACTTATAAATGTCACATTATTTTTTCTTCGACAAGGAATTATTCCTTAAGTAGATAATAAAATTAAATTTCATGTTAAAATGTCATAGGCTTAATCGTAAGCAGATTCAAATAAATAAAAAATTCAATTTTCTTCCTGTTGCGAATAACTCGTCCCCATGCATATCCTATCCTCCTTTCTTCCTTCTTTCTCCATATCCTATTGAAAGCAAAAAACTATTAGTAAGTACAAAATTATCAAATCAAAAGCCACAACTTATCCGTAAATTCTCAATGATAAAATGTTCAGAAGCATATGTAAAGTCAAGAAGTATGAGCCCGCTATTCACATCCAGGAGCTAAATAAAGACTCTGTAAAACATTTGACAATTTCAATATGCGTAAGCATATAACCTACATTGGAGAAATCGATGTTAACATGAAGTGATAGCACATGAGGTATACTAAACATACAGAAACTATTTGCATTGAGAAACACACTTTCTAATAGACACATTTTCTGTATACAAAGCACTGTAATCTTATGTTAACGCCAAAATGAAATTTTCGAAATCACGTTGTTAAAATAAATAGTTGATTCTTTCAGGCGTTTCTAGGAAATGTCATAGTAAAAGTGAACAAACAACTTGTTATTTCAGCAAATTAGATTCAAAAGAATTTTTTATATATATATATATATATATATAACATACGAGGAGAAGATTTCTGTATATGCACTTAATGGAAAATATGTACATACACAAACATAAATACATATTTATGCGTATGCACATATAACTCTGTATATAAACCATATATACAATACATGTATACACACATATATACATTGTACATAAGTATATATACAAATATATATTTTGTTTCTTCTAATATAATTAATAAATGCTACTTGCTGTAGCATCAGAAAATAATCCTGTCCTCTAGGTGAAAGTTCAAAGTAAAAAATGCATTGCATACAAAGTAGTTAAATTAACAAAATAAGAAGGGAAAATGAAGTTACTTGACAGCTTCTCTTGACCCAGTTAACGTGCAAACACGTTCAGGTAGCCCACCACTTTCGGGTGCCATTTGTATTTTACATCCTGTTTCACTTTGTAATCTTGTTATTTGTTCTCCACCTCTTCCAATTACTGCAAACACATTGTTATTAATTAATAATGTATAAAATAAAGAGTACTCCTAATTTAATAATTGCAAACATCATCGAATTGTTTCATATGTTATGAAACGAAATATAAATAATTCTTCCTTAAGTAGAACAATGTAAATATGTACATTTGTATTCGATAGTAGGGTTGCATGAGGAATAAAGACTTATTATTTTTTTGTTTTCACTTACTTAAACCAACCATTTTATCGGGAACTCTGATATCTTCGTTACAAATACCTCCCACATTCCCCAAGGGTCCTGATGATCCTGCTTGCCCTGCTCTACCACTCTGATTATTTGAATCACCTAATGAGTTACTTCCCGGTGGACCACGAAGCCCTATTAACGGGTCTGCTACTAATGACGCTATTTTCTTAGCCTCTGGCTCTATAAGGATAATTTGGTCAATGTCTACAAATTCGAGACATATCATAAATAAAGTTATATACATCCTTAGGAAATTAAAAGTGATATTTTTTTATAAAACAAATAATTCTGATACTGGCGTAAAACTCTTGATATTTACAATAGTTAATTACTCAGTACGATGATATATTTATTTAGAATACATAAAATTATTAATATTATTTTCTACTTATTAAAAATAAAACAAAAGAATTATATGTACCTGAACCATCTTCAAGAGGACGTTTCAATTTCGCATCTTGGTTATTTTGAGCACTAGCGGGATTAATCTTTGCAGCTATCTAAAAGTTCATACCATACAAAACATAAATAGTGAGAAATTCATAAACATTAAGGAAAATTATAAGCATTCATGCATTTATATCATACATAAATGCATCAAATTCATTAAAATTACATTTTCTGTTTTACAATTTAATTAAATTAAAATTTTATTCAGATTCACTCGAAGAGTCCTATTATTTCCAATTTAATAGAACACTCTACAGAGGAAATAAATTTTCCACTTTACATCTTTCTTTTCCCGAATAAATCAGTAAAACCATAAATTTTTATAAATATTTATGATCTAACTATTGTATAACTATGTTTAAATCAAACATTCAAACGTACGATGACATATCATGCGATACTTTAACAATTAAAGTGTACATAAACTATATAGTCAGTATGAATATAAACACTCTGGCTTAGATAACATAAACGACGAAATAAACGTAGATTACTTAACAATAAAAACATTTTACAAAATTATTTTATCTCGGAAATTTTTTTTAACAAAGCTAATCGCACGTTAAAGAATAAATTAATTACTTGAAAATAATCAATTTTATCAGTATAAAAGTCTAACGATCTTAGACAACGTATGGTTCTATCAAGATGAAAAATACTGTATAGCCGACGTAACAGATTTGAATTCATAGGTAGCCGATATTACGTTAATTTTACGTATTTACTTACTTGTTTTGCACGCTGCAAAGCCGCCGCAAACGCGGAGCTCTGGCTGAAATTTTGAGGCGGAGCAACCGCTGAATAGTCACTCATAATGGAACATGAAGCAGCAATACCAATGAAACTATTTCAATATTTCTCTCTGCAAACAACTATTAATAACCGTGTCTATGTAAATTCACTCTAATACGTAACGTTTGAAACGTATTTCATACAAAATATAAATATTTCAATATACTACTTTGAAAGTACACAATAGTCCAAATCACAGGTTTACGTGTGAAAGAACTGTGCTTTCACAGAAAGGACATCACAGCGCAAGCGTCGGTCATAGAATACACAGTTCTAAAGATAAGCGACAGTTAAAAATAACTGTGCCGCGATCAGTTTTTGATGCCAGTTCGCTTAGTAGAATTTAAGGCAAATCTACAATAACTACATACGCCTTAATTATAGCGTTATCCTTACAGATAGGAAACTTTGATGTTTTACGTATCTACGTCGTACCAGAACTAATAATTTCTAATGCCGAGACATGTGATGAAAACAGTTGCGGAACATTGAAATTTTAAATGCGCATGCGAGTCATTTCAGGTATTAATTGACAGATAAAGCATGATAAGGACATTTTTCAGTAGCACATACAGCGTGTAAAACCTTCACAGCCATGGAAATTGTACGTTTACAACCTTGCATTCAATTGCAACTTACAAATGAAGAATTTCAAGATATCATAGACAAGGCTAAGGATTGGGCACTTATGCACGGTATTAATTTCCATATATTTCAAACAAAATTAAAATTTTTACAGAGAATTTACGATTGTTAACCATCTCAATTATGCAATATCTTAACATTTAAAAATACAATTTTATTCTTGTTGATAGGTATCAGTTTTAGATCTAAAGAATCGTTTAATAAAAATCAAGTGCAAGTTTTACCATTTACACTATTACCTTCTACTTTTCCCAAAAGGAATTTTTTGAAGGCAAAAAATATACAAGTATTATTAAATGAACTTATACATAAAGTAGCACATAATCATACATTTCTTGTCAACAGTTTGAAGAGGTATGTAATTTCGAAAAAAAAATTCTGTGGCTATATTTGTAGATACTAATGGGATGACATTTTTTTTTAGCACAATAGATGCTGACCCTTTTACAGCAAAATTATTTAATATCTATGAAACTGTACATAAGGAAGGATTTAGTCAGGTAAAATAATATATAGATACATAGATATGTTATTTATTATATTTTGTAAGTGAAAATGAATTTTTCTTTTATAGACTATAAGTGTTGGTCTGTTACGGTCAGATTATATGTTACATGAAAATGGAATTAAACAAGTTGAATTAAATACTATCGCAAGCAGTTTCGGTGGAATAGCTTCAGTTGCCTTACAATATCATAAGTAAATTGGTTAATATAAATTTCATTGCAGTTCATAGATATTTAAATATTTCTTCTTATTGTATATGTATATTGCAGGTACATCCTATCAGAATTAGGACATGCAGACAAAATAAAAAATGTAAATATGTTTAATATTATATATTAATGCATTATCCAAATTTATTAAAACTTTCATTATTTTTAGATTCCAGAAAATAATCCTATTAGGGGTCTTTGTTCAGGGTTGATACACGCATGGGAATTGTATAACAATAAACAGTAAGTACTTTCTAGTGTATAGTAAAAGAACATAGTTAATTATTATATACTTAATGTAAATTTTAGGGCAGTGATATTATTCATTGTTGAAGATATTACTTACAATATATGTGATCAGAGATTTCATGAATTCGAAATATGTAAACTGAAACCTGATATAAAAGTAATCAGGCGTAGTTTACAAAGTCTAGTAGCTGATACAAGGCTGGGTTCCAATAAGGAATTACTAGTGTACGTATACACTCGCATCTCATATGTTTTCTTCATTAATTTCTTTACATATAGCATCTAAAATATTGGTAATAGTAGCGTAAGTGATCGACTTCGTGTAATTTCACTGAGATTAATAAATGTTATAGAAATGCATGTTTTGAACAACTTTCGCCACTGACAAATATGTCGCTCTCATTTAGTTTCCGAGATAATCGCGAAAAGCTGTTACTGCCACTACATTGATTTCTATATGCACACATGAGCGCACTGTGAAGCGGCCGCAAGCAAACCGCACGTTCATCGCTTTGGCTTTCGACCTTTTAGGGTTTCACGTAAGTACTCTCTTATCCAAAAGTTCCAACAGTTATAGTTAATTACAGTAGTTTTGTAAATGCGTTCCGTATGTATAGAAATGAGTTTCACTTAGATAATAGAGTCTAGCATGAGAGGAGTTGTATTTTATAGGGTGAAGATGCAGGCTCATACTTCGGTTTACTTCCTCGTCACGCCCATACACACGCTCTGTAAAATTTAGCTCCATTCATTAACACAAACTAAAAGAAAGCGACTTTTTTGTCGGAGGAAAAAGTTGTTCAAAACATTGATTTTATGAAAATCGGTTTTACGGGTAGATTTATGCAGTTGCATTACTATTGGGTTTTCTGTCAGGATTCTGTAATATTGCCAAATTGTTTATCATAGCCCAAGATTAAATTTTCAAAATTTATGTGATATTTTATACATATGTGTGGTTATGGATGCCTTGCGACGGGACGGCACCGGTTTGTTTTGAGAAAAGTGGAGTGACTGCGTTTTGGAAAACTTGTGAGGTATGAATGGGTGATTACTCGCGCGCGTGATCGGTGTCGTTTTCGACTGGGCTGCGCCGGCTTGTTTGAAAATAATGGTGATTACGTGTGCTATTCATTATTAAGTAAACATTCATTAGGTGATTATTATTGACATATTTTAGTGGAAATCAAGAAGTTTCTGTAGTTTATTTTCGCTCTGGTTACCAAGTTGATGCTTACCCTACAGAAAAAGAATGGTCCATTAGATTATTGATAGAACGTTCTCGAGCAATAAAGTGTCCTTCTATTCAATATCATCTAGCAGGCACTAAAAAGGTATATTTATTAATGATGTACACTGTATAGTAGTGGTATCAGTATTTTTGAATAACTTACTGGGAAAGAAACACTTTCTAGGTACAGCAATCTTTAGCATATCCTAATGCGCTGAACAAGTTTATAACAGATGTTGATATTCGAAAACAAATACAAGACGTATTTGCTGGCCTTTATTCACTAGAATTTGTAAGTATGTAAGATAACATATTTAAAAAAACTAGTGATTCCGATATTTGCATTAAATAGGTAATATTTAAACTTCCTCTTTTAATTTTTCTTCAACTTATTATATGATTATTTGATGTTCTATTTGGTTATAAGTATTATTTGGTGGAAATAGAATGACGAAGGTGACACAATAATTGAGAAGGCAATCGCAGACACTAAGAAATATGTTCTTAAGCCACAACGAGAAGGCGGTGGAAATAATATTTACAATGAAGACATAAAAGTGAAGTTAGAATCTATGAAGACTTCAGAGGAAAGAACTGGTTGGATACTTATGGATCGTTTTTATCCTCCATCCCAAAAGAACTATATTGTACGTGCTCAGAATGAACCATTTGAACATCATGATCTTTCTCTCTTTGATGTTGTAACAGAACTAGGCATTTATGGTGTTGTTATAGGGTAATTATGTACATTTCAGTGACTTAAGCGAACTATTTTCAGGAATGTTGTACAATATCATTACATGGATGTTTACTTTTACAGAGATCATGAAAATATTAGAATTAACGAACAGGTAGGTCACATGTTGAGGACAAAAGCTTCAAATGAGAATGAAGGTGGCATAGCAGCTGGTTTTGGCGCTATTGATGGCCCTTATCTTATTACGTAACACAGATTATATTTGTTACTAATTATATATTTGTTGATAGTTAAAATGATGGAACTCAAAGACACAAGAAAATTATATTTTAAATACTAATGTAAGAAATACTTATGAAATATATTAATATATTTTTATCGCAATTTAAGTAAAGTAGTATTGGCTGTTTTGTTTTCATTTATTGTTACACAACAGTGTGAACAGCCTCCTTTTTCATTTTTCAATACATAATTTTCATTAATCTACATACACACATACACATATGTACACAATTCGGTTTACATTCGTAATTCTTTATACATACATTTCACTCGAACGCTTCAATTAATTTATATTTTAACTTATCAAACGAGCGTTCGGTTTATATGTTAAATCTTCAGATCCTGATTCGGAATAGTCGGAATCATTAATGTTCACCATTCGATTCTTATCCTTCTCCATTGACTTTTCATCTTGCTTCTAAATTAAGAAACACGAAAGTTAGTGTAAGTTGATTACATTATAACTGTATAGAATCATTCTACCGCAGTATGATAATGTTACTTTTATTCCAAGGGTTACCGGATTTACATATTCGTGTTCGCCTGGAGACAAAGCAGACAGAGTGTTAAGGGATGTTACGCTCTTGTCTTGTTGATTATACGTAGAATTTTGGAAATGAATACTATAAATAAAAGCAATATTTGTTTTTTACAGAAAATGAAAACACTTGTCGAATTTGGAAATTAAGAAAACGCTCTATTGATTTACCTAAGACATTTTTTTGAAGAGTTGGGCTTCACTTTCTGATAATAAAAGTATCCAAATATGACGATGCTAATCGTACAAGCCAACAGTGTGATTATCACTCCAATCAACGTTCCACTTTTCTGACGAATGTGTTCGCCTTTTTGGTCAATCACACCCGATTCGAATTTGAGTTTTACATTTGCGTCTTGTACACAAGTGCCTTTAAGACTTTCTGAGCGACCGTCATGGCAAATACACGTAGAATCATTCTTACCCAATACACACATGTAATCACATTCGTGATCTTTACAAGTATTCTGTGCTGTGTAAAACATGCAGAACAAATTAATTTTCAAATTATTTTCAACACGTTGACTGCCACAAGAATTTCGAGCGTATTGTTATAGTAAGATATATTCTTTTGTAATAGAGGAAAATAGTATTAGAAATAATTATTAATGTTTTGGTATTACAGTACTCATTTTACACTATTATGTAGCTTCTTGTGTTACTAAATATTTTGATTCAATGTTAATTTTCTTACTGTAATTTTTTTCAAGCAATTTAGAAGCTCCGGTCACCGGTGACCACCCTGACAGTCAACGCATTAATGACCCTTGTTTTTTAATTACTGTCAAAGCAGTTGGAAATATTTATATAGTCACTTCCTTCACTTTAAAAAGGAGGGTATATATCTAAGCACGATAAAAGTTACTTGATGCGCTTAGAATCAATACATTATGACAATACGAAAAATGTCAAACTTACCAGTAGATTGCGTGGATGTGTGTAAAATTGTAAAATATTTGCTGATACTGGAGATACCAATGGAAATTGTAGTACATTTCTTGTCATCGTATAATTTGCATTTTTTTAATGTACCAGTTGTACCCATTAACCAATACAAATTATCTTCATATATGTTCAAGCTTCGAGCTTGATAAACCTGAGAAATTGAAATAATACTAGAATATTTGATATAAAATTATTGTTCAGTATTTTCTTATAGGAAGATAAGGGAATGAAAATTTGTTAGCTGTTAACACAATAGTTATCCACCCTGTCATTATCACTCCCAACGAGTGACATTTGAATCGTTGAAATGGGATAGATAATTATTAACTTCTTTAAAAAAATATGAACCATAATATCGAATTACTTTCATTATATACTTTGGCTGGTTTGTTCATTGAAATCATAGCGAGAACAATTGTTAATGACAGTAATAACTTTAACTATCTTAACACTAGAACTACCAACCACTCAAATCGGCATTTCGAAATTTGTGTATAGGAACTCTAAGAATCCAGCTACTGAAATTTCAATTGACTTAAAATTATTGAGTGAAGTACTCAGTCCGAGTATTACAAAATCAATTTCTGTAATGATTCTGTAGAGGAGCATATGTTATGTTTTTAATCATTGAGAAAGAAGAACGTAGGAACGGGTCAATTTGACACATCTGGTAGTTCTGGTGTTAAACATTCTGTTCTCATATACTTACGTCGGTTTTCAAAAATATCGCTCGGTCGGTGCCATCGAAATTGCAAGATTCAATAGTTTTTAACAAAGTGTCTGCCCAGTATAATCTAGACCTCGTGCGATCAATTACCAACGACGAAACAATTCCAATGTTTCGATTAGCAATTGCCTTTACGTTGGAACCCGCAGTGTCGGACCGATATATTTTAGTAGTTGGTTTGTCGTAAAGCATCCAATTAGTCTGACTCCAAAATAACCGCCTGCGTTGTACGTTTATATAATTAGTAAATTGGAAATAAATTGGAACATAAATATAGAGTGAAATATACCCTTCTTGTGGATCAACAACAATGGCCAGAGCTTTATTTCGCGGTCCAACGGTAACTATTTTAGCGCACTTTTGTTCATCTAAATTGCAGACCTAAAATGTTTATGCGAAATGTACAAGTCGAACATTTCGTTCGAATTATAGATTTCGAATTGAATTGATTGTATTTCGAATGGAATTGAGAATTAATATACCTTGATGCTGCTCACATGGTCGTTGTCGCTGAAGTATACGTTACCAGTAACCCAATCAACAGCAAGAGCGTTGGGTCTTCCAAGTCCGGCCACGATTTTTCGGTTTCTGCTTCCCATATGCAGTTTACTAATCGTACTTAACATATCTAGAAAAAAGAATATTTTTAACTGTGTACCATTGATGATATAAACAGAAATTATCGTGTTTCTTTAACCCATTGCTGCACACTTTTAGCTTTAAAATTGTGCCCAGAAACGCAGTTTTATTTTATTGTTTGTTTTGACTCGTATTACTTAAGAATAAACAAATAAATGCATTAGTACAGTTTGCGGCAATGGGTTAAAGAATATTTTCTCCGTTAATACTGCAGTAGATTCATTGACACATTGATTTCCACGAGAATTTATCGCGGTTTGTATATTAGTTACTTTTTCATAATAAAGGCATATGGTGTTAGAATGAATGATTAATAATTCGATACCACAGTTCTTAAGTGACTATTTAGTAGTTCTGCTACTTAATGTTTTGATTTAATATCAGTTTTTCCGTTATACTGGTTTTCAAGCAATTTCGAGAGCCAGTGGTCAACGTGTTAATGTCAACTGTAACAATCTTTTCTCGCACGCTATCTTTGAAGTATGAATTGCTTAAAATTGTTATCACCATTGCTCCAGTAAATGGTCCCTTCTTGTACGTTCACGTCAATGCCAGATATATCAGAATTCAACTGTTCATAGATGATTTTAATTGAGTATAAGTTTCGCGACAACTTTCTGATGGTGTTTCCGGCGACGACGATTAGTTCCATTTGTGGTCCTATTGTTATAAAGAACAGTTTATCGTAATTGTAATATTGTAACCAGAGAACAAAAAATAATAGGGCAATCCATTGCTTTTATATGGCACTAGCAAAAAGTTCCTTAAATGTACTTTATTTATAAAAAATTAATTTGGTAATTATTTAAGGGATTTCATTGACTTTAATTTCATTTTTGATGATCTTGGACATATTATTAGGGACGTGATTCTGTACGTGTTATTGGTACTTGGTTATACTTATAATTATATTTTTCAAGATTTATGCAGAAATATTTTTAACACTGTGTGTTCAATGTTACGCATTTTTCGGTGTGTGGGTTAAATTTAACACTAGATTCACGGACGTGTAATTGCACGAATCAAGATCGACTTAAACTGTTACTAAATAATGCTTGAAAAATATAATATCTGTCAGATTGACGGGTTCCGTAAATTTAATGTTAAATTAAATTCGAATTAGCGACAACTTCGTAACCAGTGTCTCATATTTGTGACGCTCTTACGTCACGATACGCTTCACGTATCTTACGTGAAAGAAATTAAATTATTTTCACATGTGTTTTTACCTGCAATCGTGATTCGAGCAAATTCTGATTGAACAACGTCAGTTTTATTCACAGGTGTACCTCTTTGCCAAGATATTTTTCAAATAGATTATATTATTATGTTATTTTCAATATTATCAGTACGAAGAATAGTTTACATTGCTCTCTACAAACTATCTATTTTTTCAAATGCATTTCTAATAAAATACCGTAATAATACAGACTTATCGAGGAGAAAATACAAAAGAAATTCGAAATGCTAAGGATTAATTAATTAAGCATTAAAATGATAACGTTTATTGTTTAACCTTAACACTGCCGGTGTCACGCACCGATGTCGCCCAAACGAAAAGTTTGGCGTTCAACATGTTAATAAAATATTGTAATTGCGAAGACTGTTATTGAAACAAACACTGGTCGCGTGTTAACACTAAAACCACCGGACAGGTCAAAATGAACTATTCCTGATTTCTTCTTTTTGCGATTATTATAAAGATAATAGATGTTTCTCTGAAAAATTATTAAAGAAATTGATTTAGCAATACGCAAACTGAATTGTAAATCAATTAAAGTCTCGATAGATGCATTCTTGGATTTTCTATAGAGGAATTTCGAAAAGTCGATCTAACTGCACGGTAGTTTTAGTGTTAAGTGACAATACAAGCGACGATCAACTATTGCCAACTACGATATTAAAAGACATTTATTTACCTGCCACTTTACAAGACCTTTTATCGTTTCGGAGAACGTATCCCTCATGACAGGAACAAGTGAACGACCCAATGCTGTTGTGACAAACTTGCGAACAAATGTTAAGTTCACACTCGTCGATATCCTTGCACGATTGCAAATCGCTGTCCAATTTATAACCACTTTGACAACCACACACGGGACCATGGGGAGTTTTATGGCACACGTGCTTGCAAGGATTATTCTTTGCGCATGAGAGTGCTGTAAGGACGTGTTATAGATTAAATTGGAAATATTCGAACGTTCGAAAAGGAAATTTTCTTTATAATTTAATTGTGAAAGAAACAGGTTTTGTAATATGTAACGAAATTATGTTTCCAAATTTTACATTCGAATACTATTATATTCGATTATCATATTAATTATATAATAATGTTATTTATCATAATAATAATATGGCAATATAAAATATTAGAAAGTCGCATATATATCGTTTCGAAAATTATGTTCCCGAACTGGATAAAAATGAACAAAATGCAAACGTAACAGAATTCGTGAATGACTCAGACTGCAGAAATACGAGTTAAACTGTGACCGGTTAGTAAGGCGTTAACGCTAGAACTACGCATCCCTCAAAATGGCGAATATCAGTATTCTTATTTCAGAATGATTGATATCTTAAAAGTGTCAAATATTTGAAATGATTTTGAAAATAACTTCACTCGAATACTATAATGAACGTATGAAGAAACTGAAAGAAATCTATTGCTATAATTTCTATAAAAATTGCAGATTAATTATATAAAATAGTTAGTAGTTGAAGCGTTAATTTCACTCGAATATTATAATGAACGTATGAAGAAACCGAAAGAAATCTATTGTTATAGTTTTTATAAGAATTACAGATTAATTATATAAAACAGTCAGTAGTTCAAGCGTTAATTATCTCAGGTAAATATTCTCTGAAAACAAATTCCAGTAACATCTAACTCTGGCATTTACTGTTGGAAACCCACCGCATTGTTCGAATTCGTCGCTTTGATCTGGACAATCTGGTTTCCCGTCGCAGACTTTTTCAAAGGGAAGACAAATTCCGTTGGAACATTTGAATTCCTGGCAATTAGAAGCGGCGTTGACAGCGATTCTTCTCGAATTACCGCCGTCACAATCTCTTTCATCGGATTTGTCTCCACAATCATCGATCTGATCGCACACCCAGGATTCGTAGATGCAAACTTTATTGTCGCAAGCGTATTCTCCCCTCTGGCATCGAGCGCAATTACGCTCGTCATCGTTTTTCGGGCAGTCTTGAACTCCATCGCACCTGTCGAACGAAGTTCATTTCAAGAAGAATATTAATAACGATATAACTGTTAATATCACGAAGAAAACGTTATAGAAAACTAATAACTTTGCTTGTTTGGGAAGACATATGTCTGTATTGTAACATCTGTATTCATCCGCGGTGCAATTGGAGGTGCTGGCTTTTCCTGTGCAATAACGTTCGTCGCTGTTATCGTCGCAGTCGTTAATTGCATTGCACTTTAAATTAATATCGATGCAACGGCCATTGGTGCACGTGAACATTTCAGACGTACACGAACGTCTTTGGCACATTTCACCTTCGTCGGAGCCATCTGGACAGTCGACCTTAGCAATAAAAGAGAATTCTTCACAGAACACGACTTCCCTGAATATTTCGCTTTTATGTAGATAAATATTGTACATGTAATTCTATAATATTTATAAATATTGACCTTAGAATATAAAAACGTCACAAACGTTGTCGCATTGTCGCAAACTCACAGTATCGTCGCATTTCCATGTGGCCGGAATACAAGACCCGCTGTCGCAGGTGAAACTCGTTGCGTCGCATTTGTGTTCATGGCAATTCATTTCATCGGAATAGTCGGAGCAGTCGTTGTTCCCATCGCAAACTAGATATTTCGATATACAACTACCCTCGTGGCATTGAAACTTACCTGAAAAGCATTAAAGTTTCACAGTAAATGCAATGAAATAAAACAATTTCGTTCATCAAGTTCACTTCCAGTCTTGAAAGCGTTTTAGTTTTGCCTTAAATCCATGAAGATCAGTGATTTCAGAATGGTTCCTTAATAACAAAATTTATAGGTATATAATATAGGTAGTAAGAAAAATAAAAATGAATAATTTGAAGGAAAAGAAATAAATGAGCTTCATCTAATTCTACGAATCGATAGACTGGCATTTTTAGGCAGTGCAACGGAGAACCGCCATCGCGCCGCTTGGAACTCGAACGGTTAATATTGTCTTCGTTAACCCCTTGCCGTATTATTTACTTTTGTTACTAAGCTCGTGCAAAATGTTTCTATTAGCAGTTTAGACGAAATGCAAAGAAACTGTCCACTCCACTTTAAACGTTTGTGTCTCACCGGTTTTTGCAAGAACCTGATCGAAAAATGCCGATCACGCTTCTTTTGTTTCAATTCAGAAACTGAATGACGCTTGTCTACTTTTACAAAAACAAATTTTAAGTAGAAGAAAGAAAAGGTGATGTCAGAGACAATGTTCAATGATTACACTGACCGCTGTTGCATTCCTTTTTATCGCAGTTCTCCTCGTCAGATCGATCCCCGTCCGGACAATCGTAGTGGAAATTGCAGCGGGATGTTATGTTTATGCATTCACCGCTTTTGCATTGAAACTGACTGGTTTTATCGCATTTCGACAATTGAAATTCATCGCACACGCTCGATTCATCCTCGCCGTTTGGACAATCTTGTTTGCCATCGCATCTGGAACGATTGTAAATTGCACTGTATTACAAACAGATATTTTATTCGTTAACATCGCGACGTCTGATGACGACACGTTTCTCTTTGAATATTGCAATTGCTTAATTGCGTTATTAGAGTGTTTAAAAATTTTTAATTTTACATAAACTATACGTTGCAACGATAAGGAAGCTTTCAAGAACTATAAGGTAATACCAAGATTTATAGATTAATTTAACAACAATCAATGTTGTTCATTACTCACATCAAAGATTACATTAGATTACGTATTAACCTTTTACGATCGGCAGATTTTTCTGGTGATAGTACCACCTAGTCGAAGCAAAGATATATATTTTCAAAGTTACTTGTTTATAGGTGGTTTATATTAAATATATGGATATTAAAAATTTGTTGAAGTTAATGTGTTTTGTTGAATATAAATACCGTAAAGAATAATAAATACAATACCTCTCGATCGTAAGATAACACTGCTTAGAAAGAACATGCCGCCATATTGGCCAATGTCAGCATGTTGAATGTCGCCATTGTGGCGGCACCGATCGCAAAGGGTGAATCGTATTAAATGCTTAGTAGTTCTAGTATTAAGCTTTAAGTTAATTATATTTATTATATTATACGATCATTATATTTATATGATTACGTTATTTCGTTTCAGTCTCATACACAAAACGATTACACACTCTATTCTCAAAGAATAGAATTTCACAAAGAATGTCCATACCTCTGAAGCAATTTTATGCACACATCGTGTTCTCCACACTTCATTTCACCCGGATTGCACGCAGTTTGAGGATGGCACGTTTGGTTATTCTTAAGTAACGCCATTTCAGGTGGACATGCGCAAGTCTACAAAATGAAACGCATAAAACAAGAGATAATGGTCCGCGAAGGTATATGTATTAACCCTTAGCACTCCAGATGGTTTTATAATCTATTAGCAACTCTAACTAATTTTCACGGTACCCGTGATGAAAATTAACAATGTTATAACATTACTTAGACCTTTGATTCTCCTTCTCAGTACGACATTCGGATGTGTGGAAAATTTGATAATCTTGGGGTAGCTTTTTTAAGATTCATTCAAGTATTTAATATTATAACTGGTGCAACATTGCAGCCTGCAGAGTTCAAAGGGTTCAAAGACAACGAATTAATATATTTTTATTCATTTGTTAGGCTTACGTATGAATGTAGATTAAACACCAGACACACGTGGGAACAGTTACCATTGTTCCTGCGACATTCGTGCTCCTTTATCAACGGCCTCCGCGAGCTGACCAACTGTAGTTTATCCAAATCGTTTGGAACTCCTTAAACAAAACGAATAATAACGTTATACACTGCGATAAATAATTTTGTCCTTTCTACACCTATTTTCCATGGTTCCATTCAACTCACGTAACGCAATACGTTTCTGATACTGCTGTACGTTGGTTTTACTAGTCCAATACAAGTGATTCGACTTGTACTGCGTCCAAAATACATAATCACCGACGAGAGCGAGGCTTACGGGCTCTGATAATCCGGTGCGGAAGATGTACGTCTCGGAATCTTAAAACAGAACATTAGACGCGAGCATCAGTCGCATGAAATCATAAGTGGAATATTCTGCTTCGCAGTAGAAGAAGAAAAATATATGAATGTTACTAATTAGAAATGAAAAGCAATTTATAAATCTTTGCTTTGGGAATAAGAAACGAAAGAGAATGTGAAATGTAATTCTAGCAAGTGTCGATTGGATTCTTATTTTAGTATTATCATTTCTTCCAATCCAGTGTTTCCTGTAATTCATTGTTTGAAATTTGAGAAATTACTTCATATATTTCACAATATTTATTATATATATATTTTTTTTTATATATATATATGTTATATAGGGGGGCACAAGAATTTTAGAAAGGCTTAGGTGGGGCATGGCACAAAAAACGTGGGGAAACACGCTCTAATCCCTTGTTATTCTTATTTCTACTTTGACCTCGGGGAATGGTACCAACCTTTGACCGCTGTGCTACCGATCCGACCAGTGCCCTGATCGCTCCAAAACAATCGTTTCAAGTCTCTGTCATAATACAGTGCTACCGTCGGCCCTAACAAAGGCATTTTGTGTCCTTCGACTGGAATTCTCGGGCCAATTCCGTGCATCTTCATTAAATCTATGTTGTACGTTCCGTTCGCGCGGAAGACTACGAACATTAGCCTGTAATTTAAGTGTTACGATTGAAACGAATGGGACATATGTACGTAGGTTGCTGCAAGAGTTTTGGGAATCCGCTGTTATTCAGTTGTTCGTTAGTTTCGTGAAGTTTCGCGTTATTCAATTTAGAAAGCGCTGACGCGGCGCAATGGACAATGTGTTGATATCGAAGGAGAAGTTCAAGCTTATTTCTGACTTTTCTCGTTGTTTCCCGAAACTCTTGCAGCGACCCACGAATTTACGCTGAAAATTATTCTTTTTGACTCCTCTTGGAATAATTACCCTTCTTCTGGTATTAGAGCAATCGCGTGGGGCTCTTCTTGAAAGTAAAACACCGTTTTCTCCTTTGTACTTAAGCTGTGAACTTCGATTGTTTTGTGGTTTACATCGGACAGATACAAATT